CCCCCACCCCAACCCAACCCGCCCCAAAACGCATCCCGAACAACCACCCGACCAAACTCACCCTAACCCCCGACCGACCCTGTCCGACGTTACCCCACGCTACCCTACGCTACCCTACGCTACCCAACCCACAACCCAGCACAAAACACAGAAACCAACATCAACCCAACCGACCGACCGACCGAGCCAAACCACCCTATCTCGAACCCAACCCAACCCGCCCCAAAACACAACCCGACCGACCGACCGTACCGACCAAACCCACCCTACCTTCTACCCTACCCTATCATTCCCTACCCTACCCCACCCTACCCAAGCAAACCCAAAACCAAGCACAACCCGACCAACCGACGGACCGACCGACCTACCGACCGACCGGCCCGACCCTACGCTATACTTCACTTAACCCAATCCAACCCAACCGACCGTCCGACCGACGAACCAAATCGACCCTCTACCTCCAACCCCCCCCCCCCCCCCCCCCCCCCCCCCCCCCCCCCCCCCCCCCCCCCCCCCCNNNNCCCTATCCCCAACCCAACCCAACCCGACCCCAAAACACCCCCCCGACCAAACCCACCAACCCCAACCCAACGTTTACCCAACGTTACCGAACCCAACTCGACCGACCGACCGACCGCGGCGACAGGATGAAGAATATTTGCAAAGAATGCCAAATGGATGGATGTTGTTTTTCCCCGATGAAAGCTTCTTCCGTTTTCACGGCAACAACACCGCATCCATCCATCCTTGACTCTTGTTCTTTTTGTGAAGTTGAAGCTAAAAAGTGGCCTCACCAGGTCTGTCTGCCGTTCGTTCGTGTTCCTGCTTTATGACTTCGATCTACCTATCTATCAAGCGAGACCTATGCTGTATACAGGGAGGGGTGTACAGGGAGGGGCCGAGATGTATCAACTAGAATAGCCACAGCTACTTCTTATCAGACACCGAAGAACGGATCATCTATCTACTGCATACAGCAGTACATCGATCATATCTTCTTTCTTCCCGAATTACTTTTGAACACGGTGAACAGCGCATGATAGTACGGTATGCATCCATCTTCAATGTTTTTTCTGTTTCGTAGCTAGAAGCGGCCTAGCCCGGGCTGCTGTTGTTGTTACTGGGGTACGATATCTCTCCATCTACATGATGTATGTCTATCCTGTTTTGTGGGAGGCATGTGCGTTGTACAGCAGTGCACCGAAGGAACGGATCTTTCTTCCTGCATCAATTGCCTGCACGTGAATGACTCCATTTATCCTAATGTGCGGGAGGCATGTCATGTGCTTTGTTGACACACACCGAGAGACCATGCACATGATATCCTTTTTCGGCGAATCTTTTTCAGTTTTGGTCAACGCGGCCTCGTAGGTCTGCTGTTGTTTATGTATTAACTACTGTATGCTGTGTGAATTCTCGTTAGACTACTACCTACCACTATGACTTGGCAGAAATAAATACACACAAGAATCCGTCGGGAAGCCACACCTACCTACTACCTCTCTCTCCTGACACACAGCAACCCCTTTATTTTGAAACGAAGGGACTACGTACAGCAGCAGCCACTATACAGTCGACCCCGCTTTAAGGACGCACATGGTTTTTCCTGAAAAAAAACGTCCTTAAAGCGGGGTAGCGTCATTGAAATTCAGGGGACGATAGCTCACCATCCCCGGGGCCAATGGAGGCATGCTATACAGTACCTCGAACTACGCGTCTCTTGCTAAGGAGGGGGGTGGTACGAAAAAGTCAGCATCGCCGAGACGACTGGCAACCGTTTGTTGACGTCGAACAAAGTTACAATACTTGAAATGAGATGTACAGCAGTCGGGGACGTGTTGAAAACAACTACTACTACGGTACACCAGTGTTTTTTGTTGTTTTGTTTGTTTTTCTCCCATCACTGGACTCTGTCGTCTGCCCCGCTGGCCCCTATCCTCCACTTCTACTAGCTAGACGACCCAACCGGGGTCACATAGGAGGGGGGGGTTGGACCCCCTCCTGCGGTTCATGCCTGACGTATTTTTATCGCGAGAAGGGTACAGCAATCCCTTCCCTCGCGACTTACGAAGTCGATTATGGTTTACTAACTTTTTTTTTTTGTTTGTTTCTGATTATATTTTGTTTTCTTGTATTTTATCGCTCTGCTGACCCTTGGGGTCCATTTTATTTTGGTATACCTTTTCTAGGTACGTTAGCCTGTGACCACGGAAATTGGCCGAGTCAAGTGATGGATTAGTACGGAGAGATTGAGACAGAAGGAGGTACTGGATAGAGAGACCGGGATGGTTTTTAATGTGAAGACAACAACAACAAAAACAAACAACAACAACAACAACAAACGAGCTTTGCAGCGCGTCGCTTTCATCCTAGACCAGGATTTATGTAGTGAGAAAAAAACTCTCTCTGCCGGGACTAGAACCCATGACCTGGCCCTTAGCAGGTTGCGAGGCTACCCACTAGACCACTGGGGCGACCGGTTAGTGTGTACTTGGCCAAATAATGTACTGCATAGCCGGCAGCGGAAGAAGGAGGAAAGTCCAAGTAGAAATTGTGAAACAACAAAAAACGAGCGTATTTCAGCGTCGCACCGAGGAACACCAGTGCATATCACTGTCCCGGCGGAGACCAAAAGCTACCCTGATGGCTTTTCCTTCCACATATCGCGAAGAGTTCCCTGAACCTCCCCCCGCGGGTTGGCTCTACGACTTTGTTGAGTTTCATGAGTAAACGAATGAACGGTCTTCGAAAGAAGGTACTGCGTCTCACGGCACTCGCCACCCCTTCCCTTCGCGCACAACTACAGAGAGCGCCCGCAGTTAAGAAAAATCATGTCAAGAAAAAAGGCTCAAGTTTGTGAAAAATAAGTAAAACGGGCTAAGAAACATAGCTCAATCTCGGCCACAACGTAAGAAACGCCCCAATAAGAAACGTGATGGTGCGATACCCCCATGACATCAGAAATCTGCGGTGCTCCCAACCCCCTCCCAAGCTGAACAGAAGTGCATTTTTTTTTGTAGGGGGCAGAGTCACGCCCCCCCCCCCCCCCGCGCGCCCCTGCTGTTCACAGTGAGTGCTGTACTGTAGTACTGCCACACATTGCGGACAACCATATGCTCTCCGCTGTTGTACGGGTTTGATGGCACTCTCCACCACCTCTCTTGAGGGCTTGATGATGTGCATTGTCCTCAGGGATCAAAAGACAGAGGACTTGCTGTAGTCTAGAGAATAAGAGAATCGGGAGGATGCGATAGTCCAGAGGAAGAAGAAATGCCATTTACGAAATGGACGACTTGGTTGGGCCGGTACTTCGATCCAAAAGTAAGGATTTGTGAGGCTCGAACCTATTTGGACGTTTCTTAACTGCGGGCGGTGTCTGTAGGATCGAACGTCCTCCAAGCGAGAGACAACCTCGCCCTCGGTGAGGGACGAGGTTATGCACGCCTCTTTTTTGGCGGCACTATAATAGATGGACCGCCGGTAGATGGGAGGAATCTATCTATCTATACCAACACCCTGTTATAGCTGCAGCACCAGACCGCTAGCTACTTCTTCTGCTGTCTGTGCGTCGCTACTTCTGCACTCACTGTGTCATTATCAGGGTCTTCAGGGATCGCTATTATACGCGTGCGTGTAATCCCACAACATCTGGTGGCAACAACCTCGACATCGCTAGGCGCAAAGTCGTGAGTTCGAATCTCCATCAGGTGACCAATTTACAAGATTTGCGGGTGAAAGCGAAGAAAAGGAGCTGAAAAGCTCTCGTGAGTACCAAACTGTGACAGAGCACCGTTGACGAGGGAAAGCGACGGCTGAATCCCACTCGCGATAAAAACATAAATTCAGCACGCACCGCAGGAGGAAGATGGGGCACGAAAAACAAGAAGAAAATAAGCCCCGGTGTTATTCCCCTCCTGTGTGACCCTGGACGGTTGTAGTTTTACGAAAAAATACACTGAAAAGTGCAGTATTCTACAAACATACACCGAATAGTGTAGTACAAGTCTCATCACGAAAATTAGGGGGGAAGTCACCATAATAAAGTGTGTAGGACGAAAAAAAAAGTTCGAAACGAGATGTTTGATCGATGCGTGGTGGGTCGATGTCAGTGTTTCGCCTTTCTTTTCGGAGTCGACACACCTCTGAGCTCTCTGCAGTGAAGTTGCCTGGATGGCCGCTCCTTCCTTCTTGCACTCCACTAAGTCACTACTCTTTTCGACCCCTCGTGGACGTATCTCCTTGCCTCCAACTCCACTAAGTAAGTCACGTTTTGTTCTACCCCTCTCTTCTTGCATGTGTACGTACCCCCTTCCGCCCCCCCCGCAGCCCTTGATGTGCTCGGCGGACGTCTACAGCATGGGAATGATATTCTACGCTCTTATCGCCGGGACGAGGCTGCCATTCACGAAACAGGGTGTGCAGCTGGTTCGCATGGGCACAGCCAGGCCCGAGATGGCACCCACATACGCGCTGAGTGGCAGTCCAGTGGTCATCGTGCTTCTCAACAGCGCATACTGAAAGGCCAGTCGGACAACAAACGTTTGCAATGGGAGAAGAGAGCTCCGTCGGGAAAAGAGAGTGCTTCTTGTGTATGCCACCGCCGCAGGTTGCTGCGGGTTTTTTTTTTGCTGAATGCAACACCGCGAAATCCATCTGCATGAGTTCAGGATAAATTAGCAAGGAATTCATGGCGTTAGCAGAAGCACTCCCAGTATCTGGTGTTGCCCGAGCAGCGCACAGCGATGCTCCCCTGTGGATAGCAGGCTCCTTTGCAAGCGTGAGAAAAAACGAAGAGGAGCAGGAGCATGAAGAAAAAGCTTCGGCTAACGACTCCCCCGCCCTCCCTTCTCCGTGTCACAAATACTTGCTCAAAGGGTAATCCAAGATATGTGGGCGCACGAGCCGGAGAAGTCGTCGAGCGCTTGGAACACATCTTGGAAGAGCTTGGCGTTACCCCAAACTTCTCGCTGGGAAACCGAACCCGCGACAAACAGCGCTACACGTAGTTTCGAGTGTGGAAAAAAACTTCTTCGGGCTGCCCGGGTAAACGTTGTCAACAGAAATCATACGTGGAGGCAGTTTGGATTTGTTTTTTTATCAGAACTTGGCCTCAATACCACACAGACATTGAATTTGAATGTACAGCAGTACACACACGTATGCGTATGTATGAGGTGGTGGTTTCTTGCTCGCGTTTCCTTGCAATATTACGCAACGAATTCATCTCTATCCATAGATGAGTCGTCCGGGATCAACTAGCAATGGATCCATAGCCTTAGCGGGCACACTCAGTGGTACCTGTGTTTTTTTCAAGTGTTTTTTTCTTAATTTTGGAAAATTTGGAAGAAAAGTGTCGAAACTGCATGTATATATAACTAGATGATCTTCATGCAATTCTGTAAAAGGTGTGACGTGTGTGTTCAGTAGTCCATCTATTTCATGGCACACCCCACCGTAAGTGCAGTGGGCCAGCCTAGCCCGATGCGGCGACAAAGAGGACTATCGTGCTTCGCCTGCAGTGCAGTTGATACGCTGGGCGGATAGCTCTTCGTCTTTTTACGTATCACGAACGAATCGCGTTTGCAGGGAAACATGGCAGCTGGGGTAGGTGTAGAATTTAGACTCTGCTGAAGTAAACGCGGCAACCAGGCATAAAACACCGAGTGTTAGGTTTCGGTCATTGAACAGTTAGACCGATGCAGAATCCGAATAACGAAGGGGGGTATCGGTATGTAGAGGGCCGTTGCGTTTCAATGAATAACAAAACGAGTGTAGCATACTTAGGAAGTAGCTTGTGACGAGGGTATGAGGGGGCAGGGGAAGGTGGCGCGAGTTGGCCATGCAAAAATCATTGAGCTTAGCGTGGCGCGCATGCTAACCAAAGTGCGTGGGGTTTCATTGGTTGAGCTAGCGAAACAAGAGAGGGAGAGAGAGAGAGGGAGATAGAAGGTAGACCGAAAAAGTGCACTTTTCTGATTGGTCGATTTCTTAGCACTTTTCTGATAGGTGAATTTTGTTTAAGGAAACTTCCGGTTGCCGGAAAACCCCTGGTCGACCGGTGACGTCATCCAGGGTAGTGACGTTACCTCTTGGCGGGAAAAATCAAGCTCTTAAAGTTGACTAGCTGTGCGTCCCCGAGCTAAACTAGAGCTCACGCACAGGGAAAAATCGAAAGCCTTCTAAGGGAAAGACGGCGAGGAGCCTTGGAAGCGGAGTGCGAAAAGAGCTTCATGGTGAACGCGAGCGAAGTGATCGACGTCGTGCGGTCGATCGTTAGATATCCTAGTGTAGTGCACATTAGTTCGAACTGCATGAAGCACCGCAGTAGTGCGTGTTGTCATTAATGTCTGGGAGGGGACCGCCAGAGCTCATTAGAACTACATTTTCACCTAGTAGCCACGGTACTCACAAAGTAGATACTAAGTTTGATGGTGCTTGTTGGCTCCGAGTAATCTGTATCAGGGACGAATCACCTGTTACCATTTTAGTGCGAATACGGACCTTATGTGGAAGGGGTCAACAGGTTAGGCGGCATGTGGAATACGTCTCGTCCAACGCCTGCCGAGGTGCATGGTCGATGCAGTAGATCAGAAACCTTGTCTACACGAAACCTGTTATCGGACGGCGTTGGAAGTCGTGCATTCAGCGATTTGAAGACCGGCGCATGTTACGGTTACCCACACAGTGTCCACGGGACACGAGTTGGATTGGGTTGGTTGGGTAAAACAGTTGCTCGTGATTGTCGGAGCTCTCGCCGGCCGGGGCCTTAAAACAGGAAGTGCTTTGTTGTCAAACGATATGTAGGGATCAAGGGAGATCATCACGGGCCCATGGGACATTGTGATGGCACGTTATCATCCGGCCCTTATGATGACAACTCGAAAACAACGTGCTTCAAATTTTTTTATTCTTGCCCGTGATCACCCGTCTGTCTCGTTCAAGAGTGGCAAAGTAGCTCGTGGGAGGTGAGGGGGGGGGGGTTGGGGATAGGAACGACTCTATGCATCTTTCCACAGATTGTTGGAGATCCTCTTCTGTGAGCACAGCTTTTCGTGACGATATGACCTCAACAGGGGGTGTACGATGACCAAAGATGTCGCGAAAAACAAACCGGCAAAGGGCGACTCACAAAAAAACTTGGAGGAGTGCGACACCTGCTTCCGTGCCTCCAACCAAACGCGTGTGACCCCTGAGAAAAGTATGACTCGTCGCGTTGGTTCAACCGCCACTGCGGCTAGAAATGCGAAGAATCCAATCAGATCTCGGCCAGTCACTGTTTCCTATAGGCCTTGCCGGGATTGGGAATCGATCCATACAGTATCCGCCAGGACTCCCGCCCCCAAGTGAGGGGCTGATGGTACTTGTAAAGGCTAGAGTGATCACGCACGAAAGTACTTTCCCCGAAATACAATAGAGATGGTAGCCCCAAGATACAGGACCTGGTGCATCATCCAAATACATATAATCCTAAAAAATACCCATGGTACGGAGCCCCGAGTCTCCGTAGACCTTCAAAAAGACAGTAACCACCCAAGTCCACAGGGTGAAAGGCACGACTGATGCATCTCTGCATCAGTCCCTGCTCTTGTCACATCATGTCGCCCTGCGTTGTAGCCTGATCGGTATCTCCGGGCCACACAGATGACCACTTGCAAACTGGAGCACTCTTTCCGCTAGCTCTAAGCGCACGCTCGTCTCCGAAACGTTGGCACGTTTCTTCTCCTACAAACCCGCAGCCTCACATCTTGTTTTTCAGGCGTAACCAACCTTCCATCAGAGGCGCCTGTTTTCCTCCTCCCCCGGCCTGGCGTCCATTCCTCCCGCCGAAGTGATAAAAGGACCAGGCGAGACGTCTTGCAACCAACACCCCTCCTCCTGCTTCTCTCTCACTACACGAGGTTAGGTCGGACGTCTTCCTCGATCGACAGCTTCGAGCTCGCCCCTACCCTGGTCACCGCCGCCGTGCCCAGCGCGCAACCCCACCGCAGGGCGGCCTGGACGTCACCGCCGCCGACCCAGACGTGGAGGAAGCCAGCGCTGTCCGGTTGAACAAACACAAACCGTAGAGAGCCGAATCGTGTTGTAGTGGGACACAAAAGTGACACAAAAGTGACACAAAAGTCAAACATTCATGGTGGTAGCGCTGCTGCTGCTGCTGCTGCCTCAGCGAGAGTTTTTTGAAGCCAATGACAAAACGCCGGCCTGATCAGAAGGCACAGGAGAAGGACTGCACCACACAAACACAGCTGAGGTGGAAGAGACAAGAAGCAGCAAGAGAGGGTGTGCGGGAGAGGGTTGCAGCACCAGGGTTGGGAAGAAGTGCTACCACACTCCCTTACATCCGTGCTTGATCACGTGTGAGCATGCGAAGGACAACTGGCCCCGACGGTGTTTGCGCATTCCATGGGAAGATGCACTATACTGTGCGGGGGAAAGTAGACGCCCCGCGCCCCGTAACCTGACCCAGCGAAAACCCGGCATATCGCTCCGTCCCGGCATTGTAGAGATGCGAGGTCAAGGGTAAAACGACAGTAGTATGAGTTTTCTTGAGCACCCCCCCCCCCCCCCCCCCCCCCCCCCCCCCCCCCCCCCCCCCCCCCCCCCCCCCCCCCCCCCCCCCCCCCCCNAAAGGGTTCATTTAGGACAGCCGTTTTCATCATCACTTGACCCGCCCTGTCCACCTAAAGAGGAGAGGAATACGGAGAGCAGCATACTTTGCAACCCACACACCTGAAGGCGTCTCCCGCTCCCGTGGAGTCCACGACCTGCTTGCAGTTCATCCATCGAACGGCGCGCAACGACGGTCTTTGTGAGTGGCGGACCCTAAAAAAGAAACTGAAAACAAAGTTTGAGCGCTTCAGTTCGTGACAACGTAAGGTGGGCGCAAGGGTGACTGTGACGACGATAGAGTGCACCAAACAAACTACCATTCCTGGAAGAGCGCACTGCTGCGAAATCAGCAGCAAAAGACAACCGACAGACTGAGGATGCGCCGGCCAAATGGTTGGGCCTGGTATGGAAGTAGTACCACGGAGCGGGGCACCAACAAATGGACCCTCTTTTGGGTGCGGTACTGAAGTCGAGGTCTACTCTCCCCTCACCCGCCCTTAGCTCTACTTCTTCCTGGTCCCCCACCTTCTGCGCCATTTGAGGCAAAGAGAAACACCGAGAGAGAGAGAACACACGGCGCTCACCTCCACGGGGACGCATTTCTGCTCCCACGACCTCTGAAAGCCACCCTCGCCACCACCGTCGTCACCGCCACCTCCTGCTGCGCCCCTCCCTCCCCCGCCCTTGATTCTCACGGAGCCCCTCCCACCGGCGGTGCCCCCACCGCCGTGTCTCCTGGAAGCGGCGAACGCACCGCCGCCCCCTCTCGTGACCACGACAAGGCCGACCCCCTTGTCTAGAAAGAACGAAGCGGCTTCGGCGACGTCGTCGCAGCCCGAGATATTCAGCGCCTCGTCCTGCGTATGTCGTTTTGACGTCATGTAATACCAAGCGAACAAGTGTATGAGACAGACAGACGGCAGACAAGGGTCAGACAGACAGGAAAACAGAGACAAAGGGGAAGTGAAAAAGTGGACCGAAAAAAGTCGAGGAGGCACGCCTTGTTGCGCGTTTGTGTCGACGCGTGATACGTTTGTCCGCGCGCCCTCTTTGAGTCAGCACACCGATCCCAGACCTACCTCTGTGACGCCACCAGAGAGAAGCACCGGGAGTGTATTTGTTTAGTAGAGAAATTGGGCATCACAAAGTATCACACGAGGAGGGGGATGCTACGAAGTAAGCGACAACTTCCCCATACTTCACGCACTCCCAAGCATGCAATTATTGCCACACCCAAAACACCACCCAGATCGAAGGAAAACCACAAGCAGCCGATAGGGTGCAGCCAACACCATCCCCCCCCCCCCCCCCCCCCCCCCCCCCCCCCCCCCCCCCCCCCCCCCCCCCCCCCCCCCCCCCCCCCCCCCCCCCCCCCCCCCCCCCCCC